GACTAGCTCTTTCCTGCTGATTGTATCTATCTCTTAGTGCTCAAAGGGTACCTTACCCAAGGTCCAGAATCATTTGTCACTGGGAAACAGAATGGTGGAAATTCATCAGTAGATTTTAGCAAGCTAGTGTTAATTATATATTCCTGATGCAAAAACACTAAAATGTCTATATGTAACTCAATATTTTCCCCCAAAATTCACACATTCTACCAAAGGAAATTCTTTGTGATATATTTCACAGTTTGAAGAATGGGTCTGTATACTTGATTGGGAACAAATTAAAGCAGAGTTGCCTCTAAAGTTCACCAAGACAATTCTGATTAAACATGAACTCATTTTTTCTGTTTGGCCACATTGATGATGTATGAGGTTTACTATAAAGAACATCTAGTAATAAAGACAATGAAGGAGTTCCTGTCATTATTTCATACTAAAGACCTCAGTTCTATACATGACATTCTTTAAAAGATAAGTGTGTTAATAGGACTTCACTAGACTACTCAATTTTTCAAAATTGGACCAAGCTTTTGCTATATGCAGAACTTCAAAAAACATAGACTTATACACTGAGGTTTCTCATCCATTCCTTCTGAACCTCCAGGAGTGAGTACCAAATTGTATTGTAGGAAATAGTGCCTGGTTGTGTCTCAGATCTGGAGAGAAAAGGGGGAAGCTATTTTCCTTCCTAGTATTTCCAGGTTCTAGATTCCATATGAGAAAAATGAATATTTAAGTATTGAGAAACTTTATTAAAGAAATTATAGGAAACAGTACTGAAGACCTGTGGGACTGCGTGAGGGTATCCTGGGTCATGGTTGAGCAGGTCCCTAGAACCCCGAGACTCTGCACACTCTGCGTGGGATTCTGCCTGAGAACCGGGAGGAGTTTGGTGCCTCCAAGAATCCAGGATCCTGAAAAGCAGTCACGGTCTCCATAGAATTACATTGTTTAATCACATAGGCCAGGCTATAGGCCTCAGATCCTAGGGATTTACATACTAATGAAGGCCAGAGAGCAGAACAAATTAAGCATTCCTCCCCCAGATTCTCCCCCAATCCTCCCCCTTCCTCCCTCCCTATATAGTTCAGGACTGCCCTGAGTTTTGGGAGGGGGTACGCCTAGATCCATCCACCATCTGCCATGACAATAAACCTTTTTGGAACCAAGGACTTCCTCATGTTATTGGGGCCTGCCGCCACCAAAGCCTCTAGGCCGCTGGAACCATAGGTTTCCTCCAGAATGTGGGACCCGCCACAGCTTGGAAGCTCCTGCTGGGTCCCACCACTGTGATGGCTTCTAAATTTTCCCCACAAAGATCCGAACACTCAGTCACCATGAAAGTAAGAAAAACTTAAAAGATAACCAAAATTATACTGTGTACTTTGGAGGGTTTACCCTAAATCCCAAGATAAAATCAGAAGCAACTTAGGTTATATTTTGAGTAGTGATTTTAGGAGATAACTATTTATTTTAACAATATGTCACAAAAAATAAAATATTGTTAGGCACTTTTGTTTTGTGTCAGCTCAGTGAGTGACTTGGAACCTACTCTTGTAGAATACATGCTTTATGAAGTGAAATTACATGCATTCACATTCTTTATATACTTATTCTTTCTGTTCTTCTCATTTACCTCCTTTTGTTTCTCAGTTGGCTCCAGCTATCATAGAGTTGTATGCTATTCTACCAAGAAATTACTGGATTGAATCCCAACAGTGAGGA